TTACTTTTTTTCATCATTCAGCACAGTCAATCAGATGTACAATCAAACAACATGGTTTCTTTCCCAGTCAAAAAACTTTCCCAAACAACACTTTACCAGACAACACTTTCCCAGACAGAAACTATCAAACGGGACCTTAGACTAGTTTTATGGGTATAATATAAATTGTCAAAAAGTACCCATGTCCTTCCTCAAATCCTAAAGTTTGAGATAATTGCAAAAATGTCACCGCCTATATTGTTTTAATTTAATTTAGTCACATCCATAAAAATTATAGATGAGTGGTTGAGATCTTGTCCTCATGTCTTACAAAATATCACTATCTCAAATGAACTCATATATATATATATATATATATATATATATATATATATATATATTTGATGTTTTTTGTGCATATGATCTATACGTGTGCATATGCATATACACATATGTTTATAAGGGTATTTTAAGTAATTTAAAAAAAATATTGTAAAAAGGAAATTCTTATTTAAATAAATTTCTCTGTGTTTTAATGATTTCAACTTCATTTTATTATTCCTAAAAAAATAAATTGTTAAAATTAATATAAGTATAAATAATAGTTGACTTGAAGTAAATCTACAATGGGAATAAGAGTGGGATATGATTAAGCCTCCACTTTAGCAAAAATAAGTTATTTTTGTATACAACAATACTTATTTTCTAATAGGCTAGTGATTCCAACACCCGATTATTACTAGAAATATAAACATGTTATCGGTTATTTATTAGTTCCACAAATAATAACGGTATAATAGAAATATATTATCATAATTAAATTAAATGTGAAATGCATTAATTAGAATATATATATATATATATATATATATATATATATATATATATAAACAACAAATTTTATTAATAAGCCACAAGCCTAACAAGTGACTAGGCAGGGGCAGAAAAGGAACAAAATAGATGGGTTACAATGGGGACAAGGGAGAAGAGTTCCAACTCAACCAACTACCAACATCACATTTTCCCCGACATTTGAGCCAATGATATGATAAAGACTTGATTTTATCAACTATACTAGATGTTGATAATAATGCACCTTGAAACAGTCTTTCATTCCTACACTTCCAATTCATCCATAGCATCCCATAACATATGACTATTAGTCTCTTCCTTAATTTAGGGCATCTTCCCCATGAAGCCACGAATTGAAGAAGATCACTACTGTTGTTAATACCATATTGGTTTATTCCACACCAGGTAAAATTTCTTTCTCTTATGAGTTCAGCAAAAGGGCAATTAAACAATATGTGGTCCGCATCTTCTTCTTTTCCAATACAATTCGAGCATGTAGTGATATTAATGGTGACTCCTCTATGTTGTAATGTTGTAGCGGAAGGGATACGACCTTGATTTGTGCGCCATATGAAACACAACACCTTGAGCGGGACAATTTTACACCAATTTATTCTAGGAAGTGTTGCAGATTGCAGTGCGAAAAAGTCTATTTTGCCCCTGAGAGTCCTCACCATGTAATTTCCATCTGGAGCAAGTAAGCATTGCCATCGATCCGAGCCATCACCCAAATGGCATGAGACTGTTTCATTACGTAAGTTTTGTAGCTTAGTAGATAACCCGGCAGATATAGTACACGACTTCCAATTCCAAGAGTTGACTTTCACTCTATCTGCTACAGTGCATCTTTTGTTGGATTCAAGCTCATAGAGTGATGGATATTTTGATTTTAATTTTTCGTGCCCCAACCAAGTATCTTGCCAAAATAGGGTTTGTTCTCCAGAGATTGTTACATGCTTGAGTATATCATTTATTCTCAAACTGTGTGCTTCAATGTCTTTTACTGTTCCAATAATATTTTTCCAGACCCCCGTGATAGATTTCTTACATAGGTAATCATGTGGTTTTTTGTGTAGATTGTGTATGCCCATAACCATTTGTCCCCATAAAGAAGTTGTATCATTCTTCAAACGCCACAACCATTTGATCATAAGACCAATATTTAATGCTCGAATCGATCCAACTCCAAGACCACCTAATTCTTTGGGTGTGGTAACTTGTTTCCATGATACCCAATGTATTTTCCTCTTCCCTTCATTTGTACCCCACAAAAACGATCTTCTAATTTTCTCAATTGATTCCAACACCCCCATTGGGGCTTTGAACAAGGATAGGTAATATGTAGGTAAGTTACCTAGAACTGATGTGATTAACATCACTCTGCCCCCAAATGAGAGTGTCTTTGTTTTCCAATTGCACAGTCTAGCTTGAATCTTGCTAATTATTGGACTCCAATTCTTGGCCAAGTTCATATTGGCACCGACCGGGACTCCAAGGTAGGTGAAGGGTAGAGTGCCCGCCTCGCATCCAAGCAAACTCGCCCAGTTAGAAGTCTCCGCGTGCGTTGCACCAATGCCAAATACCTTGGACTTGAGAAAATTGACTTTTAGACCTGAAGATGCGTGGAAGCATATCTATAGTTAATAAATTTCACATTTAATTATGGTAATATCCTTCATAGTTAATAGTTCAATTAATACTCTTTATGTGTGCCCTTATGACACATATTAGAAAATCCCTTTATTATGTTTTTGTACGCGTTTGACATTAGATTTTTAGAGAGCTTTTAACTTATAGTTTTTAATATAAATATTGATTTAGACAAAAAGCTTCGTTTGAGGTACGAATTTTTTGATTTTAGTTTAAACAAAAAACTTAAAATCTAAAAACTATTTTCTGTAGCGTTTAAGAAAAAACTATTGAGATTTTTAATCAATTTTCAAAATTGTCTTTATTTTGATTGTCATCACGATCCTTATCCTACAAAGATGTATTTTTATGTAATTATACAAGTTTCAAAAGCTTCTATCTATTTTTTTATCAAACGTTTATATAACAAAATGCTCAAACTCTCTTCAATACATCAAAGTAATTATTCCAGCTAGTTTTGTCAAAATGCTCGAACTCTCTTCAATACATCAAAGGAAAACAATATCAATGTCCAAAACAAGGAGCTAACAAAACCCAGATTGTCCAAATCCATAGAAAGCAACTAAGAAAAAAACCATTTTCACACAAATGGAAAAGAAAATTGTAGTGCCAAAAAAGAAAAAAAAAAAACTAGCAAAAATAAACAAGAAAAGAGCGTGTCAATCTTGTTGTGGGTCACTCTTATTTGACACCCATTGTTGGTTTCTTCTTCTTCTTTTTTGTTTTTTTTGGAATTTCCATAAAACAATTTCACGAGTCACAACTTTTTGTAGGTATAAAGTATAAACCATGTTTTTATGCTTTAAGTTCCAATTCATTTTCTTAATTTCTTTATTGGAATATACCCCGAGTGATTTTGTTTTATTTCTTTTAGTTTTTTTGTCTTCTAAACCTAACATGTGGTGAACTGGCCAAACTGAGTTTTTTTTTTTTTTTTTTTTAAATCCCCAAGTAGAAAGAATTTTCGGTTTTTTCCTTCCTTTATTATAATTCTTGTCCTCATTCACATATAATTAATCTCCATGACTCCATTCAGATCCATATTTCTCTTTGAGTTTGCTCTCCACTGTTTGTTTATAACAATTAACATTCGACCAATTGGCATTCAACAGGAATCCTTCATTTTCAATCATACAGAGCTCCAAATTTGGTACAAATCTTGAATAAGTTTGAAACCTTTGTGGGATTCATCATCTTTCCACTGAATGTGAAGTGGGTTTCTTGTTTTAAAAAGTCGACACGTTTTCTAGTGGCTGACGTCTACTCTCTACTCTCTACTCTCTAGTATGTGTTTTCAACACAAAGGGAAAAACTAACAGACAATCTTTATAAAAAGCACCAAGCTTTAATCTTTTTTTTCCATTCAAATACTTACCATGTCTGTTGCCCTGATACGCGTCGTTTCCCCTAATTACGAGCTCTGCAAATTGGGATTCTTGGAGATACCAACAAAACTCGTCGATTCATCAAGATTCACAAGGAGTAACAAAATCAAGAATGTTGGTTATAAGAAGCACAAGTGCAATTCCTCCTATTTCGATGCATTTGGTGAATCGGGTTTCCGGGATTTAAAAAATGGGAGAAAAAGAAAATCCGATGTGGTTTCGAGGGTTGTGGTCGCTAACCCAACTGGCGAATTGGCTGTTTCATCGGAGCAGATGGTGTACGATGTCGTTTTGAAACAAGCAGCTTTGGTTAAAGAACATATAAGAGCTAGAGAAGATTTGGAGGTGAAACCTGATATTGTTCTTCCTGGAACACTTAGTTTGTTGAATGAAGCTTACGATAGATGTGGCGAAGTTTGTGCAGAGTATGCCAAGACATTTTATTTAGGTTGGTTAGACTTCTTTTCATTAAAATCTCCAAAAAAAAATTGTAATTTTTAAGTTTAAAGTTCACCACTTGCAATTTCGATATTCATATTGTGGTTTGAATTTGATTCGGATTAATTTAGTTTTTTTAATTCAATCTTTTTAATATAATATTTACAGGAACACGACTAATGCCACTACAGAGACAAAAAGCTTTCTGGGCGATTTATGGTGAGGATCTTCAATCTTTAATCTTCAATCTTCATCGATAATAATCATAAATCATAATATATATATAAAAGTTATGTTTGATTTTTGGGATTTCTGTATAAATTTTCATTTTTCGATTCAAGAAAAGAGATTTTATAGTAGTAATAACAGTTTTCTCATTTCTGTGTTTCTTCTTGATCCTTGATTCCTGGTTAGTTACATGTGAACTATTTTTTTAATAATATTTTTCTAGTCATTTTCAAGAAACTTTGATTTTTGAGGTCAAACCATTTCTTGAAGTTCTATAACTAGTTACAAATTCAAGATTAACGTTTAATAATCAACTTATTTGACTGATTCAAAGATTTTCTTTTTGTAAAAAACAGTGTGGTGTAGAAGAACAGATGAACTTGTTGATGGGCCTAATGCATCGCATATAACTCCAAAAGCTTTAGATAGATGGGAATCAAGGCTTGAAGATCTTTTCAATGGTCGCCCTTTTGATATGCTTGATGCTGCTTTATCAGATACTGTTTCCAAATTCCCAGTTGATATTCAGGTCACAATTAACAAATCAAGAATTAACAAATCACTAAACATATTAAAATTTGGATGATTACAAAAATAACCAAAATGGATTGAGTCATCATTTATCAAGATGATCACCTTTTTGACACTTTTCACAAAATGGACCCATTGTGAATTACAAAATTCCTATTTGTTTGGCCTACAAAAAATATCTTCATAAAAAAAATTCAAATGATGATACTTTTGTATAAGTTCTTGATGTTTTTTTTGTCTTTTGGTTTTGGTTTTTGTAGCCTTTTAAGGATATGATTCAAGGAATGAGGATGGATCTTGTAAAGTCAAGATACAAGACTTTTGATGAGCTTTATTTGTATTGTTATTATGTGGCTGGAACAGTTGGATTGATGAGTGTTCCTGTAGCTGGAATTGATCCTGAATCACAAGCAACAACAGAAAGTGTATACAATGATGCTTTGAGTTTGGGTATTGCTAATCAACTCACCAATATTCTCAGAGATGTGGGAGAAGAGTAAGTGCTCAAACTATTTCATAACTCAAGAATTTCCAAGAAAATACTAAATTCTAACATTTACAAGAAAATCTTGAATACCATGTTGAAATTTGTAGGAAATACGATAAATAGTAATGACTAGGGTGATATTTACGTTATTACCCCCGCTTTATGGGGTTGTAATTTGTAAATTTTCTATTAGGCAGGGACCGTTTTTGTAATTTTTTTAAACATATGGACCGTTTCTGTAAAAAAAAAATCTGCACACGGACCTTTTCTTACAGGGACAGTTTTTGTAATTTATTTTCTACACAGAGACCAAACCTGCCAACATATGAAAGTCTTAAACACATGGACCGTTTCTGTAAAAGAAATCTACACAGGGACTTTTTCTATAAATTACAGAAACGGTTTTTGTAATTTATTTTCTACATTCGGACCAAACCTGCCAACATACAAAACAGTTGTGGCCAAAGTCTTAAACATAAAAGCATGATGCTATAGTAAACAAATAAAGTACATTGCTATTTCTTGATGTGGTTGCTTTTGGAATAGTGCAAGAAGAGGGAGAGTGTATCTCCCACAAGATGAATTAGCACAAGCGGGATTATCAGATGAAGATATATTTGCTGGAAATGTAACCGATAAATGGAGAAATTTCATGAAAAAGCAAATCAAAAGGGCAAGATCATTCTTTGATGAAGCAGAAGAAGGTGCTAGACAACTAAGTCCAGCTAGTAGATGGCCTGTAAGTACTAAAAATGTACATTTTTTTATAAAAAAAAAAAAAAAAAAAAAAAAAAACATGACTTTGAAGATCTTTAACTAAATATGAAATGTGTTATTAGGTGTGGGCATCACTTTTATTGTATCGACAAATCTTGGATGAGATTGAAGCCAATGACTATAATAACTTTACTCGAAGAGCTTATGTGAGTAAAGCAAAGAAGATAGTTAAGTTGCCTATTGCTTATGCTAAGTCTCTTGTTCCTCCAACATCGAGAAATGGAGTGCTTATGAAGATTATTGGCATGTAGATATATGAAGTACTCTTTATGTACACTTTGTAGGAAATGGAAACAATGGATATTTGTAAATTTTTATGGTGAATGTTGTATGAATTGGAGGTTTATTTAGGTGTATAAGTGTTTACCTGGTGTATGTGCTTGTGTGCTTACTTGGTAGACAGTTGAATAAAACCATGGTTTATAGGTTTGTCATTGTTTTATGAATTGAAGGTTTATTTAGTTTTTTACTTTGTTTCCAGCATTTTGATCAACATTTGGCCTCGGAGCCTAAATGACTTTTCAACATAGAGAAACATTGGATGTAGGAAAATCATATTGTGATTGAAATAATAGTGAGGGAAAGATGAATTTGGACGTAACAAACTTTGCTAAACCAAGCATCCCCAAGTTTGAAAGGGATTATGAACAATCGAGTTTCTTGATGGAGAATCTTTTCTAAAGAATAGTGGGACATTGTGGGAAGAGAGGCTCCAATAAACAACACATAATTGAAGGAAGGGATACTAGCAAGCAACTGTCGGATTTCATGAAGGAGAGCTTAAATGAACATGCGGAGGAGAATCATTCGGAATTCTGATGACGAAGAATTGCGAGGTTGTTTCAAATTACTTTGGAAGAGTAATGTTGATTGTCTATCTAATGCGAACTTGTAGAGAACCCAAGGAGGTAATCAAGATCATGAAGACATCTTGCGAACATTTACCAAGCAATGGAATTAAGTTAATTATACAATTGAAGAGTACAAAAATATATCGGTAGATGCACGATATAGTTCTTTACGGGTGCATGAACATAAATTCAAGAAAGCCAACAAAAGAAATGAAGAACATGTGCCAAAGGTCTTATAAGAAGATGGCAATGGCTGACCTAGGGTGTGTAGGTGCTGTCGTAGCAAAAAGCCTCTTCCTATAATTTTTTTTCCTCTAATATTATATTACTAAAAATTTAAAAACAAAAATAATAATACATTAGTTAAAGTATAGTTTCGTGCTACTAATCTTATTCATATTTTATTAACAATGAAAAAATATGTTATATAACTTGGGTTTTAGGGTAAAAGTGTATTTCGAAGATAATATTATAATCTTGATAACGTTCAAGCTAATAAGGCAGAACATAGAGAAAAAGTAACACTGAATATGGATGGAGTTTATGAAATTGTGGAAGAAGCCATCTTGAATGGTAATAACCGTGATGACAAATAAGATATTCCATTGAATATCTATGATCCTAGAAAGTGGGACACCCTTGATACTAAATATTAAATAGATAGGTTTACTAGTGAAAAATGGTCATAAAAGAGATATGTTAACCAGTAAAGGTGCTAAAGATGTAGGCAACATACGTTTTTGTTAAGAATTTTACAATAAGTACTTACCAACCGGAGAGACGCATCATAGAGATTGGCTTGTAAAGGATCTTGATAAAATACTTTGTCTCCTTTGTAAGTTGTTTAAGAAGAAACCACAACCATGTAATCTAGCATATGAGAGGATACACAATTTGGGACATCTTGTTCATAATATGAAGATGCATGAAAGTAGTGCATAAGATGTCCATTATATTTTGGGAATCATATGGTAGATCCAAATGATTACCTTAGCAATGCAAACATATCACGAAGAGATGTCAAACACTTGGTTCTATAAACAATTGTAAAATCCAACAACAAAACGAATAACAAACCAGGATGCGGAAATATGATAACAATGTTTCATCATCGTCGTCGATGTCATAAGCCAATTCTAGAGGCATTGATAAGCCTTGCTTCTATTTTTTCCAATATTTCCGGCTTGACATTATCTTGAAGTGAGCCTTTGAGTGTTGAGAAATGTTGTATATATTCCACCGAATCCATGTAATTCTTCAAGTAATTGCAAACCTCCACCGACACTGGGGTAAGATTTATTCTCAATTTTGACAAAACGCTGCCACTAAAAGAAACTATGGTTTTCGAAGCTATCGTGTAAGCTTGGACTATATCACGGACCATGAGAAAGAGAAGTAAAAATTGTGTTTCCTTTTCTCTCCACCAAGCAAAATATCCAAAATATAAAACTGTGGTGTACTCATGAATTTTAAAAAGTTAGAACCCATATAAATTACAAGTTCGCTGCTAGGGGTTAATATGTGTTCTTTTTTATTTTGTTTTGTAAATCTAATATGTAGTAATAAATGTCGAGTCGAAAGTTGACTGTGTTGGATTAATGTCTAAGCCCGTAACTATATTTGGTAAGTACTTGACCCGGTTGTGCATGGTCCTTTT